TGTGCCGAGAGTTTTTACAGCTCAGTCTCTTTAACCTCAGAGTGGACCTGGATTTACCTGGAACACACAAGGCCGGCCTTGTCTCTGTGTACATGTGTATGTGTGTACAGTATGTGTTTATCTGAGCGCACGTGTACCTCTCTGTGTATCTTAAACAGTACAAATGTACGGCTGCAGTGTCATGTGACCGTGTGGACATTGAACATGTCCATGTCCTGAAGTGATGCTGTGTCCCAGTGGGGGACTCTGAGGCTGCAGTCAGAAACCTCAGATGAAGTTAGGTCCACAGTCACCGTACTGGACGGTTCGGTCCGTGGATGAATCTGAATCTGAAAATCATAAAATTCTGTCTCCTCACATCTGTGGGTTTGTCACAGCTGGATTCAGGGAAACAAGCCGTGGCTCATGGGCTGCACTGGAACCAGTTCACCACTTTTTTTCTCTTCTGTTTTTTGGCAGAGAACTCATCAGATTTTAGGCTGTGACTAGAACCTCACCCTCCCTCACAGAGAGGGAAGGCTCCACGACCGCAGTGTGTGGCTGGAGTGTAATGTAGTTTGTTGGAGGGGGCAATAATCTGATCTAATCTGTGGCATGTGAGGCAAATTGCTGGGAGCAGAGGTTTGAATTCCATGTCCATGAGTGAGTCGCTGGTTTCTCCTCCACTGTACAAATAAAAACTCCTTTTTATTGTTAACTCCAATTACACACTGACACATCACTGGGGCAGTGACCTTTGTTTGAAGCATTTTTCTATTGTTTAGGAATTTAAAGAAAACGTAAAATGAAAAACGGAAACTCAATCTAGACGATGAGAACATGCAGGAGACACGGCCAGAGTAGTCTGTGGTCAAACCTCACTCTGTGGGGCAGCCATCCTGCAGGACGTGTTCCAAAGGGACCACAGGGGGGCGACAGTTCCCAGGACAGGGCTAAAAATTGTTGTATAAGTGTACCAGTATTTGCTTTTGTCCTGCAATATTTTTTTTGTCAATTTCTGTGACCCCCGCCCCCATATTTTATGTATGATCTTTGGACCTCATCCACGGTCCAGACATGGAACATTCAAACATCCTGGTCACAGAGACCCGTGTCACTCAGTCTGTCAGCAGACCCGTCTTATCACTTCCTCTCTGCAGAATCACTGACAACTGTGGAATTTCCCTCCAAATCCTCAGCCTTTTTCTTTGCCTTTTCTTTGCCCAGACCACTTAATTACATCGTTGTTTTTTTTTTAATTCTTCCACCCTGGGAATGATCGACTGTTCCAAAGCTGAGAGAGCTGCAGCCCAGAGGTGAACGCGGGACACGGACGGAGCTTTGGCTGAGTCAGAATTTGGCTCTGACTCGTTGTAGATCGGCCAATCAGCATCGTGTGTCACAGAGAACACATCAGTAATGAGGTCCAGCAGTTCAACCATGTTGTCGTTGGTAACAGAAAATCAAACCAGACACAGTTTCAATTTTTTTTTTTTTCTGCAGCTCGGTCACTGAGGCACACGTCTGCGGTTACTGACTTCTCTGCAGCTGCATGTTGATAACTAAGAGCAGTGAAGCATTGTGGGAAACACAACTTAGTGGTTTCCTAGAATCTTAATTAACAAACTCAGTCAGATTGGAGGTTAGGGTTTAAGTTTACTCTGAACTGACCATTGGTGTGAATGAGAGCGTAAACATGAGTGTGAACGTTGACCATGTGAAACACTAGCAGCTGGTGTCCAGCGTGTAATTCCACCCTCTCCTGGAGACTGCCGGGATTGGCTGCAGCTCCCCACATGACCATGTGAAATATTCAGTGTCAGAAGAAGAAGAATTAACATATATGTGTGTGAATTTACAGGAAGGATTTCACTGCTGCAGTGATTCAGGTTCTCATTAAAAAAAACATCTGTTTTATCTCAGCTGCAGCTGTAAAAGCTGTTTCCATTCCATCCCATAATCAGCTGTGAGCTGTTGTTTTTTTTTTCTGTTTTCTGTCCCTTCGTTGGCCTTTTTACAACATGAACTCATCCTGGCTTCTCCAGAACCAGAGCCGGAGCCAGTGGTTTGGGTTTTGGCTGCGATAAATGCACGTAATATTTCACATTAAAAAATGTGTGTGTGTACAGTGAAGGAGGTCGGGGCAGATTTATGACAACTGACTCCACAGTCTGTTTATCTTAGCCCAGCCTGGTGACAGTGGTGGTACATTGGTGCAGAGCAGAACTTTCATAGAAGGTGAAAACTGTTGGGAGCTTCAGGGTTTTTTTTAATGTTCATTTTACAGCAGTCCGTGGTCCGTGGCAGGATTAAATCTGTCTTTGGATTCACACTGGAGCCTCTGAGCTGACAGGATGAACATTTTTCTTTTACTCTATTTACTCAGAATTTAGAATTCAGGATTTATTTAAGAGCCGTTGGCAGCTTGCTTGCTAACAGCAGATTAACGTAATGTGATTTTAAGAGCCGTTGACAGCTTGTTGCTAACAGCAGATTAACGTAACGTGACTCTACTCTTAACCTAAGTTTAGGTATACATCTTTTAGGTAGAGCAGCATGGTGAGACAAGTTGTTTTTATTGGTATTTTCTTTTAATTTTGTTTAGTTTTGGAGCCACACATCGTCTGATCTTTGGACAGTTTTGAACAAGGTCTTCACAATATTTGTATTATATTTATTATTGGTAAAATTAGTTTGAGGGCTTGAAAAAGGGCATGAGAAAACAGACTGAGTCAAAGAGTGAAATGAAGAATGGAAGGTAGTGATAATCTTTCAAAATAAAATACTACATACATACAAAAAAACTTTTTATTCTTTCTGTGGGGACTAGTCCTGGTCCCTGCCCCAGTGGTTGGGTTTGTGAGGCAGATCCACAGCAGCTCAGTGACTGTTATCACGGAGACACCAGATACCAAACCATCTTTATTATCATTTCAGACCTTTTCAACAGTTCCTGTAACTTTCCCACATCAATCATCTTCACATTGTTCTCCTCCATCTGTGGATCATATTCTTCAGCAGCTGCTCTGCCACACTTTTACAACATCACAGCAGCCAAGAGCTGAAAGTGGCATTTCTACCACACACTCTCTGTTTGGGATGAAAGAGAGAAAAACAAAACTTCATCTGATGAAGCAGATTTTGAGATTTGCTGACTTAAAAAAAACTTCAACTGTGCCTTTAAAATACTCCCCTCCTTTGATTCATGATGTTCTTCTGTGGAAACACCGTCCGTGGGGATGAAGATATCTCATCAGTTTTACCAAGGGTTCCAGGACTAGACTCGGTTCTCTTCTGCTTCCCAGGAACTGGGAGTGGATTTTTTCCTCCTTCGAGACTCAAGTACGTTTTCCTCTTTCACTACACGTGTACTGTAGTATCTCCTGAGTATTCCTGCTCATCAGTGCAGGAGGAGACCAGACTGAGCCAAAGGTGGAGGCCGTGACTGTCACGCCCTGAATCCTGGACCTCTCACAGATTTTCACAGTTCCACAGAAAATATTTCGACTGTCACTAAAAACAGACTTTTTCAGTATTTTTTTTGTTTTGTTCTGAAGTTCGGTTCCAAAGGTGGAGATCAGGTATCTGGACGCCAAGTATCTACAGAGCTGATGTGTTCACGTCTGTGCAGTTAGAGGAACATCTGCAGTGAAGTCAGACTTGGACCAGGTCCAGGAGCAGTTGATGACGTCCTGACCCGAGGGACCGTTGGACCTCGGTCGTCTCAGAAGATGAAGAAACCGCAGCCAACCACTCAATTAGACGACGGTCCGATTCCAGGAGCTGATCCACGGAGATGTTTCAACCTCTGATTCACGGCACACTTCTGAAGAACTCTGACTGACTTTGATTCCTTTTTTTTTTTTTTTTATGGTCCAAACATCACACACGGTCTCTACACACAGCCACTGGGGTTTGGTTGAACTTTATTGCCCATAAAGTTCAGATTTGTCTTTGGCTCCACACATGCACACACACACACACACACACACAGGGTGGCGAATGTTCAAGAATCCAAGAAAAAAAAGCTCTTCTGCAATATTTTATAATTTTGCCGTATTTGTAGCTCTTTGTAGCTAATAGTTAGCTATTTATTGTCAGCTCATTTTGACTATCTTTTAGGTTTGAATTATATTTGAGCCACGTGTTGTCTATGTTTGTTGCTGATGTTCAGTGTTCCTTTGGCCATCAAGCTAAGATTTAAATGTCTTTTTGGCTAACCTTTAGCTATTTTGGCTGGTTTATTATGTCGTTTGATAAAAAGTCCAAAACCTTTTTTCGTCAGGACGATGGTGAGGATGTTTGAGAACATCTGTGACAACGTTGTTTTTAACTGCTCTGTTGTTGAACTTCAGTAGCTGAACCTCTGTTTATATAAAGTCCATTAATACAAACACGCAGCCCTGGTGGACGCCGTGATGTTGGCATTCTTCACCTTAGACACACAGAGCGAGGCGCACAGCCTAATTTATAGGAAGTGCCACTGCAAGTGTGTGTGTGTGTGCGTGTGTTTCTAATACCTTCCAGATGAAGGTCGTCTGTTCCCTCATACGTACAGAAACAACACATGATTGTTCCTGGGGTCATTTCTGTTAAAGAGAACCAGCTGCTGCAGATGACACACAATCCGTGTGTGTGTGTGTGTGTGTAGAGATATTTTTTTATAGAGGTTTTCACAAATTGTGTGTGTTCTTCTTGGAGAACCTCATAAACTGACAGAAGAGGCATGTACGGTTTTTTAGATTATCAGTGAAAATAGTTGGATCAGATGGATGTGTTTTCTTAGATTCATTAGCAGCAGAGGGGATTCTGGGAAATGACAGTATTTCTTTGAACTGTTCGCAGAACATATCTCGTCTAATTAATCAAAACAGTCTTCACTCCTGAGTCCTCCACCGACACTCCAGGGGTCATGAACCCCATGTTGAAGACCTCTGATCCAGGGGTCTGTTTGTTTTTGTTTTCTCTGCTCAGACTTGTTACTCACATCTTGGTGTTTTCTCTTTGTTGTCTTCATCCAGATCGCGGTTCTCAGGGAGCTCTGGACCTGACAGAGCTGATCGGTGTCCCACTCCCACCCTCCGTCTCCTTCGTCACCGGTTTTGAAGGTTACCCAGCCTACAGTTTTGGACCAGAGGCCAACGTGGGTCGTCTGACAAAGTCCTTCATCCCTGACCCATTTTACAGTGACTTTGCCATCACTGTCATGGCCAAAGCCACCACACGGAGAGGTGGAGTTCTGTTCGCCATCACTGATGCTCTTCAGAAGGTCAGTCCTGCAGAATCTCACCTAAAAAAAAAGAAAAAAAATGCAGACGGAGGGAAAAGGATTTAAATATATATATAAATGTATATTGTTGGTGATGTTTTCAGGTGGTTCACTTGGGTGTAGCTCTGTCAGAGGTGGAGGATGGATCTCAGCGGGTGGTCCTCTACTACACTGATCCGGGAACCTCGGCAGGAACTCGGGAAGCCGCTTCCTTCAAGATGGGTGACCTGACAGGGCGTTGGGCAAGGTTCACTCTGACAGTGCAGGGATCAGAGGTGAGAAATCCGAAAGTCAGGTTTGTGAAGTGAAGTTCGTCTTTAAACCAAAGGTTAAAAACTGCACAGTGTTGAACCACTAGGGGTGTGTATTGACACGATTCTGGCCATATGATAAGTATCGCGATACTGGGGCAACTATGTTACTAACGTTAGAACAGATCATGAAACTAAATATCACAATATTTCAATGTATCAATGTTTTTCTTACACCCCATGAACGACTGTGTGAAGATGAAGCTGTTTTTTTTTTCTTACTTCAGGTGCGTC